CAGTGTACTTCAGTCGCTTGTTCTGCTCTCCAGTCTGTCTCTGGTGAATCCTCTCACCACCCCTACACCTCTGGCCCATACCCCAGTTCTGTATGCACAAATAAATAAATCTTTAAAAAAAATTGAAGCCCTGAAAGTGGACCACTGTAGCACCAGCAAGCACAAGCCAGGTTCTCTACTTTTTTCAACAGACGGATAAAGAATCCTGGAACCTCAGTGGCTTTCTTAAGTTTTAATACTATACCAATTGTTGGGGAGCAAGCCCACAAGCTAGCAAGGCTAAAAGACCAGTGGAGTGGTGCCAAGGGGCACAGAATGCTGGTAGGCAACCCAGGCCCCCAAAGAATCTTTACTTTTTCTCTTTGGGCTCTTCCTGGTGTTCTTTCGGTCTTTCTCTCACAGCCATAAGTCATCCTCTTGTAGCTGCATCTGTACCGGTCTCTGAGTGACGTTGCCCATATAGCCTCAGCCTCGAGGCTCAGGTGTGAACACTTACTCACATGCCCGACCCACATTCCAGGTGTCCACAATCAAGCATGCATGCTCCACTTCCACACTCCCAAGTGACTTCTGCATTCAACGCTGCAGGTGACTACACAGGCCAATGGCATAAAAGCCTGACCATTCAATCACCCTAAAACCATCAATCTGCGGCTTGCAAGGGGTAAGGGTCAGAGGGATGGGTAAGAATTGTGTGACAAGGAGTGGGAAGAACACCACAGGCTATGCTGGAGGACTCGGAGTGTTTCAGTCATGGGGCTGCAATCCTGTATAGTTAAACACTAGCAAGGGTGAAAAACAAATATACCTCCATAACAGTAAACAAAATAATTTTAAAAATGCTCACTAGAAGTCTGCTTGCTTTTGACTAGAGTGTACTTTTTTTATTCTCTGTGTATGTGCCTATAGTTAGATAAAGAGAAGGGGAAAAGAGATACAATGTGAGAGAACAATAATAGTAGTCAGTGGGGGAAAATATGGCCAATGGGTAACTCTGGGAAGAGTCACTATTTTTATTTTTATAATTTTAGTCAAAAATGTTTTGAAACATTCTTGTGATTTAAAAATGTACAAATAAAAGTCCAGTGAATTTCTGCTCCAGCCCTTTTCTCTACACATACCTGGAATCCAAGTCATACCAAATTACTAATAATTTCCTCAGATGATGTCCTTAACCTCTAGTCTACCAGAGGAACATAACACACTGCACAAGGTAACACCTGGGTCATCTCCTCAGATAAGCTTTTCCCTGATCTCTCTGGCAAGATAAGGACTTTCTCCACTATGAGAAATGACTTTTTTTAGCATGCCTATCTTCATTTTAATATGGCATTAAAAATGGGATTGCACTTTGTGCGACCTTGGACATGTTACTTAACTTCCATATGCTTTAATTTATTTACAATATGCACAAGACAGCACCTGCTCACGGGAAGACTTTGAAGATTAACAGGATTAATTCATGCAAAGTACTCAGAACTGCTGAGGAGTATCAGGTTTTCCATAACGGTATTTATTATGTGGGTGTTAGTGTTGTGATAGTGATAAATATCGTAGAGTTGGAGATGAACTACAGCAGAAGGGATCATGGTATAATGTTTACCAAATATAGAAGAAACTCATTAAATATTTTCAGGTGAATGAATCGATGATCAGGAAGTATATTATGATAATATAAGAGAGAAAAGTAATGATGGTCTCAACCACAGTAGTAGTAAGGAGAAAATGAACTTGAAAAGGCTTAATGTAGAGCTGCATCACATGGTAATCACTTGATTGTGGGGTGAGATGGAAGAGATAAAAGTATTATATCATTACTAGCTCAGGGTCCCCACAAAGTTACACTTTGGGGTCTATTTCTGGGATATGGTCATCAACAATATCTCCATCAGGCAATATTCTCTAATTAGGTTCAAGAACTTTTCCCTGTGTTATACAAGACATTTGTATGCTATTTCTTTGTTTAAGTTTATTTATCGATACATATGTGGAGATTTTCAGTGTAAAGTTATATCTATAGAGGAAGTACTCACTTGGTATGGTCAATAGATCCTTAGGACGTCAGTCAAGCAAAAAAAAAAAAGTATACAAAGGCAGTTCTCAATAATTTTTCACTAAACATAGGCCAGAATGTGATTTTTTCTCAATATTATAACTAAAGGACATGGGATAAAATGATGTTACTCAAGGACCTTGTTTCATTATACATGGTTTCACTTAAAGCCAGAGTTTCTAAGAACCTGTTAATAACAGCAAGTGAGGGCCAAATGCATTGGAAAATGCAGATCAAAGGCAGTCTATAGCCATATAAACACGTGATAAAAAATTAAAAAGACTTTTAAGCAAGGAGAAGAAAAAAGAAGTCTTTACAATTTTTAATATTGATTTTCTCATTCTCTATATGGTTTTGTGTAAGGGAAAGCGCCTGATATTGGCTGTGGCTGAGACATGCACACATATTGACGTGTGAACTTGTAAACTCAAAATTTAAACAGCTTTAAAACCAGGGGTAAATCAGTGAAATTGAATGAACAATATAAAAAGCCTCAGGTTTATTTCACTGACTTTGCATATAAACATTAAAGCAAACGAATACAAGACACACTGATAATGCTTCTTAATATTATTTTATTTAAAAGTTCACAATTAGAGCACTTGCAATAACACAAAAAGTTTAAAAGCAACAATGGTTACCCTGTAGGAAGGGCTTTTTTGGAACGTAGAATGGAGAGGGGCCTTGTGCTTAAAATGTGTGGAAATCAAGGGCCATGAGAGACTTGGTAGATCAGAGTCTGTAATCTGAAGGGGATGAGCCTAGCTTCTGAGTTATTTCAAAATTGGTGGGGGATGAGGAGGAGATGGTATAAATCTGAAGATTTCACTTAAATCCCAAGAAAAACAAGAATAAAACCACCTCAGCAGAATCTACCATCTGCTGACATACTTCAGAACACAAAACTGCAAACCAGTGTTTTTTAAAGAAATCTATACTTTAAAGCCCTCTGTCATACTTCTCAAATTTAGTACTGTGGGAAGAGATGCTCCTCAATGAGCCAGAGAGGTGAGAATTATTTTCAAAAAATGCAATACACAAACATCATAGGGAAGGGTTTGTAAATTAAATCCATATTTCCCTTTCACAAGTTTTCATAATAATATCCTGCCTTGTTAAAGTGTCCTGAGTGTGGAAGATGCTGTTTTAAAACAATGACAATAATGTTTTTAAAGTATATATAGGAAGTTCAGAGATAGAGCAGCCACTTGTTCTACCTTGATCATCATTAATCAGCACCATAACATGTTAGCTGCAAATAAGCACATAGGTAAGTTTAGTCCACCAAAAATAAGGAATTAGTCAATGGGTGAAGTCTCATGAAGAAAAAGTTACTTCGGAAGGACTCTTTGAATAAGGTTCTTGAAAACTGACTAACAATTCAATTATGAAAGGAAAGAATACTAAGGCATAACTAAGTAAACTGAAATGAAGTTAGAATCCATATTTGTCTCTGGGAGAGAAAGTGGGGAATCAGTCCCTTTAGAGCAAACACGGCGGGTTGATTTCAGAATGGAGCTGGACTTCCACTGCTCTATACAGCTTTTCCGGCACTGTATTTCCTGTAGTGGAAAAGACTCTTGGAGTCCACATGGCGAGATTTCTGCACAGCTTCAGCAAAAAGTTTGGTCACCTGAAAATGTAAGAAGAGGAATTTTAATCAACCAACATCATATGAAAGTGAATGTTTAAGGAAGCAGAAGTGAGAAGTCACAGTTCCTGCTCCCAATTTTCAAAAGGGTGTATGTAGGGTAAAAGATACAATTTTTTATTTAACAGAAATACACTTCCTTCTGTATCTCAGATCCCACCATGAATAAGCTTTCTCCCATCCACCCCTGCCATGGGGATTGAAAATGACTCAGAAAAAATATAACGATGGGCAGAAATTTTGATGAGTGTTGTAGGAGAGTTCTCCCTGAGATAAATTGGGGAGGTCTAGACATAGCTCACGTGATTATTTTCTGAGAATGGGACAAGAGCTTGTACTATATCTTCATCTTTAATCATAATTATAGTGTTGCTTTTATGTGGTGACTTTCCTTTAAAAATAATAAAATAAATGTCTTTATCTTTATTTCATACACACAATTTTTTATTAAAAGGATAATTATATGGCTAATGAGAAAGTCATGGCTATTTCTAGCTTTTGATTATCTCAACAACTTCTTCATCAAATATCTCAGCAAAGTCATGACCTATCATAATGGCATCATTATTTTAGATTATTTCAGGTTCTTTTTAGAAACTCTGATCCATGCTGAATGTCATGAGAAGTGAGATATGCATATATTACAGAAGACTCTTAAGAAAGATACAAAAATAAGACCCTCATGCAGTCTGTATTTGAGGAAAAGAACATACCTGGAAGTTAGTGAGGAGAGCAATTCCACTATCAACAGCTGTCCTCCGAATCACATAATTATCATGGACAAACTTAGTGTTGCTATTGGGGAGGTTAATCACCATGTCAATGCTGCCATCTCTAATCAATCTTTAAGAATAAACAAAGGAAACAAAAGTGTATATAATTTTAAAATAAGTTTTTAGAATGCTAAAATAAATTAGTATCCTCCACTAAGTCAATGCCACCTGGAGCTGACTGCCACCTTCCCTCCTCTATGCCCAGGTCCGTGCTCAAATTACACTCATTTGTGACTTGTAATGTCTTATGTTCTTGAAAGAAAACTGGTGAAAGCTGAACTAAAGGAATAGATGGTTACTTTCTCTTTAAAGTGCCATCTGTCCATAACCAGAGTGAGCGATTTGATAGATACTTTCTTATTTTACAAGGAGGTAATTCCTTCAGCACATTAGACATTTCATTCACATTCCTCTCTCCACACTGACAGCTTTTCACTGTCTGCTTCCCAGTGTCTCTCAGTGGAAGCTACAAGAACATAGGTCACCTCCTTTTGAATTAAATCATCTCACATTCTGTTTCTGGGATGTTTGCTATACACACTAGGAAACATTTCAATGTTAAAAGCATGAAGTAGGGCTAATCATTGTTTTACAGAGCTCCACACAACTGACTTAGAGAATCACTGAAAGTCTCCTAAGGCCCAATTTGCCCTTCTTTTACTAATTTCACAATGAGTTATAGGTTAAAAGTCCTAAAACAGTATATTTAATAGAATTTGGTATGACTTAGTCATTTCATAGACTGTAATATCCTGGGGCAGCCCAGAATCATGTGCTGTACACCTATGCCACCTGGTTCAAAAGCATGAATGTAATGAGGCTCCTGAAGGCTCATATAGTATACTGAAGTAATGTGACATGCAATTTCTAATGATAACACAAATAAAGTCATAATAAGTAACCAGTCAAAGAGCGTCAAGTTAGGTAAACCAATGGATGACACTATCATAGCACTTGTCTGCTGCATATAGCAACTGCTCAATAAACTGCTTTTTTTCATGATTCAACTCAGGGGAATACAACTGAGCGAGGTTACTTTTGTTATACACAGATGCACAATGCAGTCTGTCATGACATATAAAGGACTATATTATAGTCTCTATGTCTTCACTTCTTGGTATCCACATTAGGAATTATTTTGAAAGTTGTTACATGTCAGCAAGTATACATATGGAATTTTAAGTTCTATAATAATAGGAAGATTGACAACAGCAAATTTTATGACCATCCACAAGTTTACTTATCTTAAAATGGTTAACTAAGACCTGTACTAGAGGGATAAGGTTTTGGATTCATACTATTCCCAAGATTTATCTTTCTACATTACTATCTCAGAAAACAGCCGGCCCAGGCCTTACTTTCTGATGGAGGAGAGGCTGGGATTCTTTCCTTCCTGAGACGGCCATGCCACTGGGGTGGCAGGGACGTTGTTGGCATTGAGCCAGTCTGATGTGGCTTCCGTGGCAAAGAGCTGCATTTAAAATGGAAAAATTGGTTACTGTACAACAGGGAAGGCTTGCATGGAGGACAGAAGCTTACTGGCACACATGCGCCATTTAAAGATTAGTGGAAGGCCCTCCCAGGTGGTGCAACGGGTTGACGCACAGCACTATGAAGCCAGCCACAGCCTCTGCAGCACAAGTTCGATCCCTGCCAGGGAGCTGACCCACATGGTGTGGCAGACCTCTCCTGACCCACCCGCTGCACCCCTCGGCAGTATATTCATTAGATCTGTCCATTCTACTCCCCATTCTGTCTCTGGTGAATCCGCTCACCTTCCATACTGCTGGCCTGTACTCCAGTTCTTATGCGCATAAATAAATAAATCTTTAAAAACTAAAAGTTAAGGTTAAAACAACTTGTAAGTATGCAAAGCAAGAGGTTGCCATGAATAGAGACCTGGACTCAGAAACTGAAGGCAGAAGACTGTTTTAGTGAGGAAAAAATTGAAGAAACTCAATTGTACTGCTTTAATAGGGCAGAAATATCAGGATTATTCATGATGGGGAGTTCACTGTCTGCAGGTCAACAAAACTTCATGCCCAGAGCCCTACCCTGAGCTGAACCAGGCTCTGTGTGAAGGTATTCAGGGCAAAGAGTTTTACTTATAGCTATAACATCCGGAAACTATCATTTCATCTGAAAACAAGAAAAGGGAAAATACATCAAATGCATGAGGACTTTGCCTCATACCTATGTAATCTAAGATTTTACCTGGCACACTTTAAGTGTGTAGCAATTTTGTTAAAATTTAACTAATCTTTCTAGTTACTTTATTGCATTGATGTTTTGAAATCAACAAATTATTATACCTTTCAGGTTGAAAGGTCTTAGTTTTAATTATTTCACTCTGAATGGTTCTTCAATGTTCTTTCTTGTGGCTAGATTTCAGGGTTGCCAGAAAGCTACTTGTAAAAAATTAATATCACATACCTTGAAACCTTCATTGTGTAACTGTTCAGCCACACCAAGGAATCTTGGACGGAATGATTGCTGAAAATAAAATTCAACAAAATTCATTTTGTAGATATACACACGCTTTTTAGTCACATGCCATGAGCTATTCCATCAGACCATCATATACGGCAATACAAATACTACTACGTACTTTATATGTCACGGTGACAAGTTTAATCCTTGGATCTTCCTGTGGTGAATACAAGTTCTTACTTAATTCCAGCATATATAAAATTCTAACCACATTTTCTTGCCCTCTGCTATCTTATGCTCAAATTCCTTCACTCCCAACTTAATCTACTTACTATCTGTAGTTTCAGGTGCACTCTGGTTCTGCACAAACCCTTCTCATGGCCATGGGGAATTTAAGGACACCTGGTAGGAGCTCAGCACCTGGGCAGTCTTGTCAGATGTGCCATGTGCTGCATGTGATCTAACTGTTGAGTTCTTCTTTGTACTGCCATTCAATAACTGGCCCTGTTCTAGTACCTACTGCAGCCTCCCTATAAGAAGGCAATCATTTCAAGTTCAGTTTTATATTTTCTTAGAGAAAATATAAAATATATAATATATGAATAATATAATAATATAAATATAATAAAAAATATAACTGCATTTCAACTCTTTCTCTAGCAGTGTGTGCTTAAAAATGTTTGTGTCTTGAGCCCTCCTTGATGGCACAGCGGGTTAAAGCACAGCACTAAGAAACTAAAGCCACTTCAGCATGAGTTTGATCTCCACCTGCGCCAGAGGTGACCCACATGGCATGGCAGACCTCTCCTGGCCAGCTCACTGCTCCCCTCAGCATTGTATTTCCTTGATCTGCCTGTTCTGCTCCCTACTGTCTCTGGTGAATCCTCTCACCACCCCTGTACCTTTGGCCTGTACCCCAGTTCTGTATGCATAAATAAATAAATCTTTAAAAATAAAGTTTGTCTTTGATTTTCTAGTACTTCATTTTTAAGACAGTGATGCTATATATTTCCCTATTGAAATCCATAATAAACTGTGTATACTTGAGAAACTTAACCGCTGTGCATGCACTTTTCTCATCTGTTAAATGAAGACAGTAACAGTATGAATATCGCAGGGTTGTTATAAACATTCAGTGTGCTATATTCAAGCACTACTTAAGCTCTAGTACAGTATCCTGTTATTGACCCATTAATAAGTTTTGTTACATATTAACTATTATTACTTAAAAATATTTTTCAGGCCCTCCCTGGTGGCGCAGCGGGTTAAAGCACAGCACTGAGAATCTAAAGCCGCTTCCGCATGAGTTCGATTCCCGCCTGCCCCGGAGGTGACCACATGGCGTGGCAGATCTCGCCTGACCCGCCCGCTGCTCCCCTCAGCAGTGTACTTGTCGATCTGCCTGTTCTGCTCCCCACTACCTCTGGTGAAGCCTCTCACCACCCTTGAGCCTCTGGCCTGTACCCCAGTTCTGTATGTACACATAAATAAATCTTTAAAAAAAAAATATTTTTCAGCTCCCCAGAGAGTAGATTCCTACCCCTGCACTCTAGGTTCAAGCCTCGCTGTCGTACTTAAAAGACAAACCGACTTCTTTTCATGTATCTCTTCCTACTAGATGAGTGAACCTTATATTCCATCACACTATTCAGATACTTTCTCACAGTCCATTTTTGTGACCTTCCTATAGTCTCAGCTGAATCCAGCTAGGTCCAGTTCCTGTCCATCCTGGACCCCTGTCCATCATCATCAGTGTTTTCCATGTTCTCTACATAGCTCTTCCCTGTCATCAAAAACTAGTATTTGCAAGACAATGGCATGAGTGAAAGAAAATGGAGACAAATGACCTACCCAAAGATCAAATCTTAACTTCAATCTCATTAACATGAGTGTCCGACTAATCAGGATAAAGAGTATTCAAACCTGTACACAGTTAAAAGCATACTCATCCTGCTTTAAATGCACTTGGACTGTTTTCTTTTGTAAAATGTTTATAAACAGGTGGCATTGATTTGATTGCTTTAGTAAATGTTTTGTAATCTGCTTAGAAGTCATATTAATGATGGGTTAAAAATGTCATGGATATGATCTCATTCAGAGTTTTAGAGAAACTAAGAAATGTGCTAACAAAACACAAAAAGATTGTTGCACAATTTTGATAATGTACAGCCCATAAAAACTCCTAATATTTACTTGCAGAGACTTCCTGAGAACAGATCTAAGTCCTAGGAAAAGACCCCAAAGGCTATGTTCAAATATAAAATTCTTTCAGATCCTGGCCCTCTCGATCCCACAACTGCAGTTTTAGGAGAGGAAACTATTGGCAAATAGAGAAGATAAATGCAACTGGATGAATCTCATCTAAGGCATGCTCAGGGGTTATTCATGACAGAGTTCTAGAACATGAATTTTAACTGTGCCCTGGATAGTAGCTTTCCATTTCTGTTTAGGGCCAAGCAGGGGGGGAAAAGTGGGTTGGCATGCAAAAAACTTACAACTGGACATTACAAAATAAAATAATATCTATAAAGAGAGTAACTCTTAGTGATTTTAGGACAACATAATTAAGTATGTGACTGTCTCTTTAAGGATAAGTTAGGCAAAAGAACAGGGCAATCATTTGTTCAAATTAGATCCAGCTTAGAAAGCATGGGATTGAGTCAGATGGCATTTTAGGTAATATACATTGGTTTATGTATGAAACTGTATATGATTACAACACTATATATGACTGGGAAGTATAAGATCACAGCTCTTCGGATATATATCACATGTTTAAAGTTCCTTGAAAGATAGCAAATATACACAGAATATTCAAAACACATTTCTGAATCTTGTTAAGCAACCCCCAAACAGGTAACATTGCATCATAATTATCTGCTAAACACAGAACATACTTAAACAGGCATCAAATCACATTAGTCCATATGTGTTGTCCCACAAACACATATGGACTAATTAAATATTAATAATGCACTGAACTATTCCCAATTTCTTAAATTTTCACCTAGCAAAAACCATGGATAATCTTTGGCAAAACAACATACTGTTGAATGAGCTATCTGAAATAACTTCACAAGCATGATGGTTCTCAAAATGGGATCCACCTGGCTCTAGCATCACCTGGGAATTTGATCAAAACGTGAAAATTTGGACTCTACTATAGATCTATAGAATCAGTAACTCTGGGCATGGATCCTAGTAATCTGTAGTTTAACAAACCCTCCAGGTGATTCTGATATATATCTGAGTTTAAGAATAGCAGAAAATAGGGGATAAAAGGAACAACCTTCATTTTTATAATCTGAGAAGAAAATGCATTTAACCTTGGTCAAGTGTCACAAAGAATAGTGTTTAGGGAGGAGCACTAGTATGTAACTTTTTTCTTTGCCATTTTAAAGTAAAATAAGTCAGAAAGTCCTCTAAGAACTGCAGATACCAGTCAGAACCTCATTATGGAGCTGTTGCGGTGCTGTCCCCCAAGTGGAAAAGATAAATATCTGACATGACAGTATTGGCAGTTCCCAGCCAGGGAACCACTCTGCCTTATGGCCTGGGTGTTGGCTTTCATAGCCACATTATAAACTTCTATCAAACATGTATTGAACACTTGTGACACATAAAACAGCCTCTCTACAAAAAGAAATTACAGCTGTCAGCTTGCATCTGAGTAGCCCCAGATTTAATAGGTGATTGAAAATACCTGGGTAGGAAACCATTTGTTACTAAAGGTGAAAAGTACAAGCTGATCTATTTTCTTAAAAGTGTTTATAATAAAGTTTACAAATTATATATATACACATATGTATGTATATACATATATATATAAGCTTAATATGAAAATTATAATGCCAATTAAGCTTACTTATGGCTGCAGAATAGACAGCCAAGTTATATTGTATGATGCAGGTGAACTCTGAGGACGACTGGACTGACAACTCTATGGTTGTTCCTAATGATTCCAAATGGGAGAGAAAGGATTATTCATGTCACTTGAAGCTGTCCGTTTCAAACAAAATGCTTGCTTTGTGTTTCTGAGCGCTGCTGAAGCACTCGTGTCAAGATAGCGCTCATACTCCACAAGCACCAGGGAGTAGCCCAATCAGACGGGGGACGGCCAGTGCTCTTAATCTGCTCTAGAGCAAATCACTTACTGTGAAAGGGTGTTCCAGAAAATTTCAAAACAAGGCAGACTGTCGACTCACAGCAACTAAAAATAAATTCTGATGGGACGAGGAAAATAGGACACTTGTGTTGCCATATAAACCTGCACTGTCTTACATTGGGCTCCATGCTGTTGGGTGGTGACACAATGGCTGTAACTGTTAACAAAGATCCTTTGACAAAATGTAAATCTTGGTATTTTCCCCGATTCCTAGTTGCACAGGATCGATGTTATGAGTTTTTCAAGTTCCCCAGGTAATTTGACTCATAGTATTTAACTTTGAGAAAGCAGAAATTTAACTTTAAGGATCTGTTTGTGTACAGGAGTAAGATGGGAAAGAAGAGAGAAATAAAAATTTAGGAAGGGCTCTCTCTGGTGGTGTGGTGGGGTAAAGCACAGCACTAAGAAGCTAAAGCCACTTTAGCATGAGTTCGATCCTCACCACGGAGATGACCCACATGACGCAGCAGACCTCTCCTGACCTGCCTGCTATTCCCCTCAGCAATGTATTTCGTCAGTTGGCCTGTTCTGCTCCCCACTCTGTCTCTGATGAATCCCCTCACTTCCCCTGCACTTCTGGCCTGTACCCTAATTCTGTATGCATAAATACATCTAAAAAAAAATAGGAAGATTGTCATGGTGTCAATGTATGTACACACGTACCTGCATGCACAGACACACACACAATCCACTCTTCAGATATTAAGAAGTGACTAGTATGTACTAGTAAGACTTTACTACTTAAATATGTTCTACATGATCAACAATAAGGAAAAAAAAGTTTCCTGCTTCAAACACTTTTATCTCTCTTCCATATTTCTCTTTTCTCCATTTTTCTCATGGAATCTGTTTGAAAAATTAATGAATCAAGGTATCTTCATTAATTCTTCTACTCATAGCAGGGAGTTAGGTAGTTGGGAGGAAAAAAACAAACAAGATCCTTACCTCAAATAAATAGGACAGTTATTCACCATCCTCCCAATTTAGATACAAAGAAATAATAAAGTAAATTAACTGTGCAGTGCGGGTTAGCGATGCTGTTCTGTAAGTGACTTCTACACATCCTACTAACTGAACAATTATACTAAGAAATCAACAATTATACTGTGAACTTATGGTCTTAGAACTTTGTTATATAGGTTAATACTTTTCAATCTATTTACTGGACTTAACCACCATTCTTACACTAGCAATACTTATCTATGTCAGTGCTGACATTACACATTCTACTGTATTAATATGATGTCTTCTGACTAAGTAGAGTCATGTACAAGAAAGTGGTAAAAAATCATGATATACCCTGAAAGATGGATTTCATGTTTCCAATAACTTTACTGAGAGTTGCTATGAAACTTGGGTAAAAAGTTGAGATTACATTTGGTTCTGTTCTGATATGATAGTCACATGAACCTTGTAGCTATTAACCCTCGAATTAGACAAGCGGTCACATCATTGTTCAGATAAATACATAAGGGTACACTTTAAAAAAAAAATCACTACAAATAAAAATCCTCACAGAATAATGGAGAGACTCTACATTAACTGTTGGTGAGACAGATTTTTCCTTGCCTTCCATATAAAGTAGGTCAAGAAAAGATGCTGATCCATCTGCAGAGGCTTAGAGGTCAATTTTGCCACATTGTAGATATTTAATGAAACATAATAAAAGTATATGTACAATAAATATACATTTTAACTTTGTAATTACTGTGTACATATATTAATGATAAATATACATTGAAGTTAAAAGTATATTTTACAAATATTAATTTTAATTAAATATGTCTATAGATATTTAAATGCTGAACATTATACACTCATGCACAGGGAGGCAGTTCTTTGCAGTCAGTCATGCAGCTATTGGAACATTCATTTCTTGAAAAATAATACATTGAGTAACAGAATTTCAATAGACAGAAACCATGTTATTTTTTGAGAACTCTTTTTTCCCTACAAAACCCTTTTTTCTTGCAAAGCAAAATTTCTGTTAAGCTGATGCCAGACTCACACAAATACTTCATAGGAATCAAATTAATTTTGGCCTCACATTTCCCTGCAGCACTGGAACCAAACAAAGCACAATTTTATACATCACTGCCTTCTTAAACTGCTATTTTAAAATGTTAGCCCTGTGACGATTCCTTGTGAAGACGGAGCAAAGGGCACAGACTCCTCTGAATGCCCCCAGGTCTCACATTAAACTTTAGGCCATAACTAGAAGGTGGGCAAATACTCTTATACTTGTGACTTAATAATGCTTAATACCCATTCATAACGTGATGAGTCTCTCATATGGAGTGATTTGTCTCTAAACTGCCATTAAGCTTTGCAATTACAAGTCATCTTGTTAGCCTCTGCTCTAACTGTTCACCATCGCCCTTCTGGCACGTTTAAGGCACAAAATCTCAAGTTATCCTTTGCAGAAACTTCTCCAAAGTCACTACCCATTCAGTCTCCAGAGTCTAATTTACTGATATTAAGACATCCTAATAAAATGCCATGTATAATGATCACCCACTGGTTTGAGAATACCAGGTACTATTTTAATTATATTTTTATTGATTTTTATGTAACCATGAAGGGTTTGAGCTTATTAAAAGAATAGCAGGGGTGATATAAATGACCAGACCCCAGAATTACTATTCCCAAAAGAAAGTGAGTGACCAGATGGGGAGCACCTAGCACTTTTTAAGGAAACTTAGGAATAGGACAGTTTGCACATTTTCTCAGTAATTATTACCAGGAGTAACAGAAACTTGCTGGCTTCCATTTTGCCTCAAGATTTATATTTGATTTTCATTAATTAACCAGTTTTGCCTTGCTCATTGAGTGAACATATTCACTTATAATTATTTCACCTGCTTTGACCTAGAAGTCTTACTAAATAATATTTCAAGATCTTCCACTGGGGTTCCTGTACTCCAGGATATGCTACTTTCTTAAACACATTAAAACTCTATCCTTAAAGAAACTACAATTCTTTGTGGAAGATTAGGCATAAAACATTTCTAAAATAATGCCCTTGACTTTTTCAACTTTGAATCTGACATTTAGTAGAGATTTAAATGTGAATGAATGAAGGAGTGAATGAATGAGAGGAAGAAACAGAGACAAAAAGGTGACTAATATGACTTCAGTTGGGGACATGCTGAGTTTGAGACATCCTGAGACAAGACTCCAATAGATTGCTGGAAACGTGAAAAGGCTGAAGATGAAGATTTAAAGGTGAATGGTTACAGAAAGGAGAGTGGATACTGTAGGCGTGGAGTTCACAGTGGGAAAAATCAAAGATATACACAGAAAAAGAAAAAGAAGAGGTGCTCCCAGCCTTAGGGAAAGCTAACTTTCAGGGACTGAGGAGGAAGAACTAAGAGCAAAACATAGAAAAGATGTAGAGAAATAATGAAAATATTCTTTTTTAATATGCCATACATTCCTTTCAGAACGACTACCCTGAAGTGGAGACTTTTTCTTTGTCTTTATGTCTTCATTTATTTATGTTGGCTACTGCAACAGAAAAAGGCAAAATTCAGGGAATCTACTGAGACCAAATGAACATTCCTTCCAGAGGTTGCTGTTTTCTTCAGGGGAACTTAAAATAACTCTCCCCTCTCCTATAGTACAATTAAGAAGACTGCCCCCACCACCCCCAGCATGTGCTCACCCCATGGGCACAAACACCATCACACACCACCTACCTGGATTCCAATCAGGATGCCTTTCTGGGGTATCTTAAATCCTGTGGAAAGCATTGCCTTTAGGAAAGCTGAATGGATGCCTTCACCGAAGCAAGCCACCTGTTTAGGGATGAGTGGAAAATAAAATGAAAGGAAGCAAATAACAGTCATCCACCCCTACTAGGAAAACAAAAACAGAAACAAATATAAATGGAAAGCACTTAACGTGTATGCTCCTTTGCTAGATTTTATTGAGTTGCCCAAAAACCATGCAACCTGGGATTAAAAGGCTGGCCAGGGCAAAGTATCTTATGTTTTTAATTAACCATAATGAATGAATAAGCAATTCTTTCTCTATCCAACAACACTCCATGGAGCAACATAACTGGATTCTACTGTGAGTTATTTGGATACAAATCACAGCTTCTGCTGCATAATGTGGTGAGTTACCAAATGTTAATATGACTTAATGTTTAAATAACAGTATATGTCGTGTTTGCTCTGCAGCAGTGCGTGAATTCATGGATCAGTAGTGAAATATATAACTGCTGTTCAATTGGTTAGGAGTCATTTCATACAGATTATGAGAAAGAAATCCGAGAAATTCAATAAATCCATGAAAATTTCAAAGGAGCTTATTCTTTTTCAAAAAATCATTTTCCTAAATGAGGCAAAATACCTAGCTACTAATCCTGTATACCTCACTTATGGTAATAAACAATTCCAAACCAACACACAATGTGAGGCTATACAAAAGCTTCTTATAGGTTAATTGTGCTGCTATGTAACTCAAGTCAAATGGCCACCTAACTATGGAACAAGAAGTGTATCTGAGTATGATGGCAGTAGACTCTGTGATGCATAACATCATTTGGCACAGGTTCAGAACCGCCATTAGAGTGAATAACACTGAAGGCTAACTTCATTCTTTCAGAAAATGACTCCCTCACTGGGAAAGGAATGTTTTCATGACTACGACCTTCAGCTGCCCACCAGAACACGCTGCTTTTCACTCCACAGTAAATACATGCATTAGTCAAGTACTGGTCAACTAACTAATGTCAGCTTAACTTAGCAGAACCCAAATTCTACTAAACGAAACTGGGTAACCATCGTAAGTGTAGACAGAATGAAACATAAGTGGTTTCAACAGTTTTCTGCAAAAAACACAGCAAATTGATTTGCAAGTGTGGATTATGTTATGAGATTATGACTAACATTCCCATTTCACTGCTAGCAAGATAAAATGCCCCTTAAGTAGATCAGGAGCTAAAGGTTCACTCAACCCCACAATAAACCACTGAAACTATCTTTTTGAAGCACAATTGACATTTCATTAAGTTAGAATTATTATACTGATTTCAATTATGAAATAGGGCCTCATAATATCACACTGGTGACACTTCAAAAAGTGATTCTACTGATGAGGGAAGAATTTTTCTCCATACTTCCGAAACAAATACAAGAAAGGGAGAGCTGAAATTCTGTTTTTTCATATTTCCATAATTTAACAACTTTAATAGTGTATATCCGGAAACAGAATGGACAAAGGCACTGAAAATAGAGTTTCCATGAAAGAAGACATCTGTCCAGATCCCTACCCTGAACTGGCTGAAACATCCCCTCTACTGAGTGGCCATGGGATCAAGAGGAACTTCAAGAGAATCTCCCTCAAAAACTAGGAGCATAATACAGGTCCCTCATTTTAAAGATGGATTTTATTACCTATTAATTTAAAAGCAGCAGCAAAGGAGCTAAGAGTAGGCAATCATCAATCCAAATACAAACAAGATAGCCATTTATTCCTCACTGCCCGCCTTCCCGCTTCACTTGGCTTCTCATCACAGATTTTGCTCGTAGCCAGGCAACCATATAAAACATCACGATTTTTGTTGCAATTAAATATTTTCCCCTTTCAGGCTTTCCTTAATACCAAGAGAAAACAATGATGCCTCAGTCTGATGTTGCCACTCCGATGTGCACTGATGAGAATCTGAAGGTTGTATCTAGTAAGTCTGTCAAGGGCTAGGTGATTCATAAAATGTCCTGACACTGACATGTAGAGAACTTTCTAGAAGCTGACAGCTCTCTACAAGAAACACATTTTACATTATTAAAGAAACCTTCAACTGACAGAGTCCCAACACAAGTGAAGAGGGACATCCAGTGGCCAGTCACTTTATAGTTTTTAAGAGAATCCTTGGGAGGTACAAGTCGTTTTCAAAGCAGTTCTGAGATTTTGCACAGATCTGCAGATTCCCTGGTGTCTAGGTCCATGAGCTTTCCCATGCTGCACAATCACTCTACATATTGCTAGATAGAAGCAAATGATTTAATTTCACAGTTACAAATGTTTTGGGGGATGCTGCTCTTAAAGAGGGATTTGAGCACCATCAAATAAAAAGAAAAATCCAGAGATAATTATTTAGAAAGATGTCCTCAATGTCCTCAATGAATTAAGAACAGAAATACTACATTCACGTGCTGAAATATATGGCAATGTGAATTTGTCTTCTAAATATGTAATCAATCTCTCTTTAGTTCAAATTGGAAAGCCATTTCAGTCTTATTCTTAAAGCAGAAGTCCATGCATTTACTAGCTTATTTATTTCACTCTATTCAAATCATCAAACCATCATTTCAAAGTAGTTTAATTAAAGTGTTAATGGCTCATTAACTAGTTACCTCTCCAGTGGAAGTCATCTCACATCTCAGAATGGGGTCAGCATCCCTCAACCGGGGCCAAGAAAACATGGGGGCCTGTCAGAAATAAAAGGAAGGTAAAATACGTGAGTGAAAGGTACAAAAGGAAGAAGAGAAGATAAATATACTAGTGAATCATCTCTCACAGGATTCATTTAGGCTATGGTAGACACATAAAAACTCTCTTTGGTCCAAGCATCTGTCTTGAAAAATAGCTTTAAAACTCTGTTCCAAGAATTTCTTGTGCTCTTGGCCAAAAACTTGGGTTAAATAATCACAAATTATTTCTGTAAATAGGGCCCCTGTGACCAGTCTAGGCCAATGTGTCTAATCTGGCCTACACATATTCTTATTGGAGTGATTTCAAAGTAAATCTCCTGGGCACTGGTCTCCCTAAACACAGAGTTCAAACACATTTTTTTTTTCTTTATAGGCTTTTGAAACATTCCTCTTCTTGTTCTGATCATTTGAACTTGCAACAAAGCCACCTTGCCAGAAATGGCTGGCTGTAAGCTGACTTCTGAGACATTAAACTGTTGTTGACACCTCTTAAAAAGCTTTGAAAACCATTCTTCTTGGAAATACTTTTGCCCAGAACTTTCATATGAAGTGAAAAATAGATAGGAATGCTTCCTTTTCATTTATTTTATCAGCGGAATTGACTAAGACCAAATTCTTGTTTCTTGCTTATATCCATTTATCTAGTCTAGATTATTCCTCCTTTGATTATGACATCATTCTAAGTTATCATGGAGATTCCTGCTTTGGGTCATTTTACTGGGCCATCTTAAACAAGTTATCATATATTCTCACTCTTGAACCGTTTTCTGTTTTCATATGTTGATATCTGCCTATTTTATGAGGGCTATATTAAGAATGGGTATGAATAAGTAACTTAAAAAACAATTCAAGACTCATATATACTGATTATTAGGAAAGAAGTAGACTGGAAGATACAGTACATTCTGAAAAATGCATATCTATCCGTCAATATTGTTTAAGTCAGAAACTATCATATGCACATATGTGTGTATATTTCTGCATCTATAAATAAAGATGCATGAATCTGAAATTCATATATGGAATCTCCAGTGGAAGAAGTATTTTTTCAGGGCCTTGTACTTGTTGGTCTCAAACAAAAAATTTCTATGTATGTATGTATTCTCACTGAAAGCTTTAATAATTCATCCTGTGTCATAGTCTCCAGAAATAAAATGCCACCCTCCCCCAACATAAAAGTGATATTTCATCTCAATGCACTATAAAATCCAAGACATCCTTAAATTATTAACTTAAGTAAGATTAATATATTTTTTGATGTAGAGCTTCCACAGTAAGTTACAAGTTAGATCCAGCTGTAACCCAATTAATGTAGAGGTTGCTGATACATAGGAGACCTTTTGAAGGCATCCACATATGTGTCATGTAAATACATCACACAATATAAATTAATTTCATTGTGTGCTTAATGTAAAAATTCTAGCGTATTTATGGAAAAACTCACTTAACCTCATACCTCTCCTTCAAAATAAAGTTCACATTGTAAATATTCTATGCATGGGTACACTGAGGCAGCTAGAGAGGCATCCTGGATTCCTAGCTCAGGTAGTGTTAAAATGTACATATACATATGAGAAGTTAGTTCTGGTCCCTCTTCATAGAGATGCCACCATTTTCATTACTCTCATAGTACCACTGTTAAGAGCAACTTCTGCATCAACCATTCACGTAGGACATGTGTACCACTGAAGAAAGCAGAAACTAAGTAGGGATGGCCAAGGTATAAGACCTAAACAAACAACACATGATAAACATTTTTACAGAATTCATCAGTTCCTGAAGTTCTGGCCTCGTTAAGTGATAGCCTAACAATTTTTGCTTAACACCTAAGCTGACACTATATGCATCAGCCACAAAAATACAGTTTAGAATTCAATCACCTAGTCATTTTCAAGATTATGCAACTCTAAATGATATTTTGGAATGCCCAATAGTGCACATAAAGTTGTCTATAGTGCATTAGAGTTGCATGACGCACTTTTATTAGGAGGTTTGTAAAGTATAAGTGTTAATGAAAAATTATTTCATTAATTTCCTTGGAATTTAAAAAATGACTACTAGATTTTTAGATGGTACCTTAATTGCAACATAATCAGCAGGAATAATCGGATGCTCCAGGGTTGGGAGAGGTTTCTCATCAATCTTCTCTCCAATCATTACTCTGGTGGCCACATCAATGAAGTCTACCCCAAGAGTCTTGGAAACAAATGGGAAGGACCGAGAAGCTCTGAGGTTACACTCAATCACCTGTAGAGAAAGCAAAATGCCAAAGGAGAGAAAAGATGATGAGCGTCAGTAACAACAATATTAATATTCTCCCTGTCACTTAGGGACCAGGAATCTGGCTCTTATTTGGCTTATCCTCACCTTCTTCTCCTTAGGTGGCACTTTTGTTAACTGATTTCCTTTCAGTCAGTATCTTTAGCTATGACCTTCATCCACCCCTTTCCCAAGTTCCACCCCCAACATTGGTGAGAGATTCATTTTAATACAGAGCTCATATAATGCTAGGTTCCCACTGAATAGCATTCATCAGCTTTCCACTGGCCACTGATTAAAGACTCGTCCTTGAAGACCTTCTCTCCTGCTTCTATAGACTTCTCTATCTTATCATATCCCAATTTCTTGGCCTCAGTTACTTTCCAAGTAGTTTTCTATTTTCCATTACATCTCTAGAAAGCATGATCTTGCTAAACTGAATGAGGTTTTATCTCCTCAAATGTGATTATTTTTTCAAAGAGGCTCTACTTGCAATGTCTCTTCTGTACCCTAAACTTGTCCAAATCCCAACCATTCTTTTAGATTTGGTTCAAACTACAAACTCTTTCTTTGAAATCTCTTATGACCTACATCAGGTACTTAAAAACACACATGCTCATGCAGACTTATGCACAACCAAAGACACACATGCTTGCAGGCATATTCTCTTTGTTTTGTGACTACAGGATCATTTTAGGTACATTCCTCCTCCAGCTATTGCTCTCTACTCAATGTTACAGTTAGTTCCCTATTCACCCTCTTCCCAGTCATCGCTGAATTAAAGACTTGTAAGAGCAGACACTGAGATGTATACATCTTTGTAGCAACCATATAATTGTGCAGGGCTGGTATCGACTTGATATCAAGTACTCATTGACTAAATTCACAAACATGCAATCTAGTTGACTTAACATTTTCTACTTGTTTTGGTAAATAGTATCCACAACAGTTTCCTTCTCTGGGAAAGCAATGAAGCAAGACTGCAGTGCATGTAACTTATCACTTATGTCCAGATTGCTTTATGATAGCCCCTATATCCATCTATATTAAACTGCAGATGGCATGCAAAGATCTTCCTTCCAGTGAATCAAAATGCTTTTCAAATCTGTGACTGACATCTCACGTCACCACGACCCTGTGCCTTCAAACAAACCAGGCATTTTGTGCTGCATTCATGCCACACTACAACACAAACAGCTGCAGGGGCCTCCATTGCCCTGTGGTTGTGTTCACAGAGAAGATGACCAGAGGAACACAGACCAACATGACTAACACAGCAGGGGTGTCCCCTCAAATCCTTGGCACATCTTACCAAGACTTCATTTCCTCTGACAAGGAACTGGACGTTGAATGGACCAGAGATGGCAAAAGCCTTTGCAATCTTTCGGGTAGCGTCCTTCACCTAGATCAAAAGGACAGTGATACAGTGTTACAGATTTTATCTTTTTTAAAAAAGTAGAAAGGAGACAGCCCCCTAAATTTAGGCTCCTTTAGTTTCTCTTTACAGAGATATATCCAATACAGTCATCTCCATCATAATATTGACAGTAGTAACAAAAATAATAATCACAATAGAAACCATTATTAGGCTTCCAGTCACAAAACAATAGTATATATTCATTTCACAAGGATTATCTCTCTGCCAAATGTCCCTATCTCCATATAGTGGTATTCTCTGGGTAGATTCCTGTTTTACTTTGAGGTTAAATGAAATCCTTTCAGTCTTCTGGCCCAGCACAAGAATCACAGTCCAAACTCTGTATCAATCTAATGACCTGCCTGCTGAGAGGTACAGGCCCTGAAATTACATAGTACTGTAAGGAGACCAGAGAGACTTCTTTTACGTTACACTTCTGTTGCCCTGGACTGTACAAGGGTAGATATTATGGTCAGAATGAAATGATGTTTCCTCACAGGGAGGCCCTGCATGTCATATATCGGAGTTCCTGTCTCATCAGAGCCTAGAAGTCCGCGTGCCCAGGTGGGTAACTGCAAGAAACAAAGGCTCCTCATTTATTCATTCCACTAATAAGAGAGGTTTGCACCTAACTGGTTATAAAAGGAAATAGAGTCCATGAGATCTTGAGCTCTGAGAGATTTGGGAACATCTAAAATCTTGAGGTCATTTATCCTGACACAAGAAACTGGTATTACAAAGCATCCTGAGATTTTCATATTAGAGAACAAAGAATCACTTTCAGAATCTTGCCTAATATACAGTCAGATGGGCCTGCTTGGAGTCTGATGACAGGGTTATTGCAAAGACTCACTCACAGTACTGAACCTGAGTGTTCCCTAAAAGTAGAGGAACAGCTGCAGGGCCATTTACAAAGATGGTCTTTAATACAACTAAGTGTTCATATTGAGTACTGAGGGAGAGTCGTCATTCTTGCTCTTTAACACTGTGGTTCCAAAGGAAGGGTCAAAAAAAGACATATAGAAAGTGCTAGTTTAAGGTGAGATTAAGCACCGACCGTGACGGCACTGATTCAAGAAGCTTCTCAGGAGAGTGCTGTACACCTTCTACCTGAGAAACATGGCATTATAGTGGCCTACCTACACATGGTTCTCAAACATTAGAATCATCAGCAGCAGCAGTTATCCAAATATGGTCTCCAGACCAATAGCTGTAGCCTCACAGGGGAGTTATTAAAAATGCAAATCCTGGGCTCAGCATAGAATTTACAGAATCTGAAAGTGGGGATGGACTTTTTGTTCAAGTTTCACAGTTGATCAGAAAGCACACCAAAGTAGAGAATCACTGCCCAAGTGAACAACCAAATGGGTTCTATAGGACAATAACAGAAGCTCTTCTCTTTAAATTACCCAGCTCACCCAGCATGAAGGAAGTTTCCCTCATAATGATTACATTTAACCAACATTGCTAACTAGTTTTTTGTCTGGTTGTTTTTGTTTTTGCTTTTCCCATTTTTATTAATAAAGGATGACCTTTTCAAGGGCTCCCTGGCTGATGGTTTGTGTGGGCAACATCAGAGTAGCATCTCCCGAGTGGACTCCAGCATCTTCCACATGTTCAGAGATTGCATGAGAGATCACCTGGCCAAAAGAAGATTTTAGAAAGAGTCATCAGGCACTTACTTCAATGACACTACTGTCCTGCCCACCCCTTTGATTCTAAAAGATGACTCCAGCATTGACCAGTTGCTTTGCTAAGTCTCAGGTGAGAGGAGCAGAATTGCTGCACTTCTAGATTTCCCAGGCCTCCCTGTATAAGGTCAGATTGTCTCTAGGAACAGATGCAAGTAATTGAGCTTATCTTCTTCTTCCATTGATAAGCCTGGATTCAAATAAAATTTACTTTTAAGGACAAGTAGGAAACTGAAGCATTTGGAAAGTGTAGTCAGATTATATCAGATTGTTTTAGACACTGGAAAATAAAAATGATGGAAGAGGTGAATACTAACAACTAGATTTATCAGTTACTAGTAAATTAAAAAACTTACATCTATCAGAAAGAAGACTTGAGATCTAAAGACTTGAGATCTAAAGACTTGAGATCTCTAATCTGAAGTTTAAGAGAGGCAGAGAGCAAGAGGAAAATATTTGTGTCCCACTTCAGTGGTCAGGAGACCAAGGCAATAACCGAAGTATATGCAACTGCTACATTGCCCAGTCAGGATTTTGAAGACTTATCTGTCAGACTGTAAAGTTTGTGGTTTCAGTTACTAGAAACTGAAAGCAAAGTGATATGTATGTCTTTGGGAAATGATAAAGCTGAGGGTGAGGAAGAATGATAGATGATTGTAAAAGGCAAACAAATTACAGAAAAGTTTTGCTTATTAGATTTATAAGCAGGTGAAATTTGAATCTCAGATGTCTTGTTATCACTTTTGAGCTCTGGGATTTGGACACTGTGTTTTATCTGTTTAACTTTGCCATCTGATTAGTGGGAAAATCAAGACATCTCTTATATTGATTGTTTGTAAGGATAAAAGACAACATGTACTGTAGATGACATGATTTTTAGTGCACAGAAAACACTCTCACTTTCATAGTGTCTAGAAATGGGGGTGGGGGGAGAGAGACAGCAGTGCCATTGAGTTTTGCATCCATTTATGACTGCAACTGCTTAAAAATTATATGACTAACCTGGAACATTTCAAAAAGAGGGATTCCAGGATGATAAATAATGGCCAATGTCTGCGAGAAGCTTCCATCAAACTGCATCAAGCTGCATATCCTTGCAGCTTGGAGTCAAATCTTACTATGAGAACATCTTTTCTCTACCAGCACAATATCTGAAAACTACTAACATCTCGAGATCAGTCTTCTGACATTCTTCACTTCTATGTTGGTAGGATCATATGCCTCTTATTTTAATCTCAGTTGTAAATAATTAAAATGTTGGAAAAAGGGGAGCATCTGCTCTAACACTCTGAAGGCCAGGAGGTCAGGGACAGGAATTCCAGGGAAGCAGACCCTTAGTTCATGAGAATGAATCTATGATATGCTCTAGACATAGACAGGTAGATAATTAGACATTATATATGTATATAGATGGTAAACAAAATAATGTTGTGTGTATTATACATATCCAAAAATAGTTGAGAGCACATCTGGGAAAACCATGAAGAAAATTCTCCTCTTTGGGGGGATACTGGATTGAAAACATGATTATCTAAGTATTTTTAACTCAGGATTATGTGCTTCTGTGGTGAGAAGCCATTATTACTCATACCCATGTAATAACACAACCCTACTTTGAACAGCTAATCTGTAAGGCCAGAATAAATAAAAAAGGCTTAACATTTTCAGTAGTGTTTTGAAGTATCTGAAAAGCAAAAAAAGTTCAACTTTTTATTTTTCCACAAAGCAAATAAAATGACATAAATTCCCTAAAACATAACTTCCTGCATTTCAAGATAAATCACCGATGCCTTATTAGCACGACCGGCAAACTAAAGAAAGGGATTCTTTACATTTTCATTTTTCCCTGAAGTCGGAGGCTTTCATAGCATTACACTACAAGGTGTGCAATGTACGCCAATTTCTTGTTATTATCTTCATCTGCCCCACTTTATTTAGTTTTGCTTTATTAACCCAATAAAAAGGGTGGAGGGTGAGACATTAAGAGAAGACAAACTAGGAATTCAATTAGAAACTTCAGAAAGAAAAGTATTAGATGTTTTTATAATGCCCATCTAAACATAAAAGGAAATCCACAGACAAAAGAAAGTGAGGAAGAAAATCTATTCAAAAAGCATGATGAGTACAGGATGATAATTAATTTTGAATAACATCAAAGAGATTTTCTAATGATATGGAACACAGGAAATGTGGTACTCATGACACATCAACTGAATTGTCAGTAAATTTGATTTTTTTTTTTAACTGAGCAGCTTGTCCATTATTATTAAACACCTGTTTTGTAGAAATCATGAACTCTCATCTGGGTTATGTTTCAAAATTCCCAAGAAAAATAATTTGACAATCAGGCAAGAATGAGGATATAGGGATACAGCACTTACTCTTCCCTCCTTGCCAACAGCATCCATTTCTACTTCCCGGGCACCCTCAATAAATTTCGTCAGCACCACTGGGTGTTCCTGTCATCAAGGAAAACAGAAGGACAGAACTTTTAGCTGAAATCTTGTGTATAGTAGCAAGTGTGTCACATACCTTAAGTAAGTGCTTGACAATATTTTAGAAAACATGCAAAAGCCCTACCTGCATAAATGTATTAACTAAATTGTTTAGTGAGAAGTTTGTTTTCTACTTTTCTCCAGCCTGAGTACTAAGTGGACTGAGCACAAGTTTTGAAATTTGAAACATAGACTTCTAGGTGAGTTAGAGGAAAGAGGGAGTTCACAAAGGGACAGAATGTGGTCCCTTCTCTATTTCCAGAATCATAACAAGCTCTGTACTTTATCTTTAATTATATATTATTATCAGTTTAGGTTCTTTCTCTCTTCCTACCCTCACCTTCTCCAAGAACAATTTCCTAAACCAGTTCTCTACATAGAAATTGTAAAACATCTTTGGAGAGTAGCATTTTGTTTTAGTTGTATTATGCAAAAGATTGAACCCTTTACCTGGAATTAATATGCCTTAAGCCACTTGGAGAGTATTATCATAACAACAGTATAACTTCAAAAACAAGAGATGAAAGTCTATCAACGGTCTCTGTTAGGTTCACTTGGCAAGCTTAAACTGGATTCTTATTCAAGTAACTTATTGAGGGAGTCAGAAAAGCAGAATGGGGTATCAGGTAAAAGCTTGTAAGCTGTGGTTTTAGTGGAAACTGGATTCAGCCTCAGCCCACAGGGACTGCCAACATGAATGGCAGCACAGATAAGCCCCATCCTAAGGTAAAGATCAGTCATTGCCTAAGGCTTGTAGGGTGGTGGTGAAGGAGGGATCTGTGACTCTCCTCAGTGTGGCTGCCATTTGGGAATAATTATCCAGAGAAGTCCAGGTGGGAGGAGTTATCAGCTATCACAGCAGTTGGTGGATGGCAGCCCACTTGTAAAGAGATCTGAGTGAGGAGGCTAATGTGGCCACCATCTCTGTGGACTGAACAAATACGTGTGCTAGCCCTTCCTCTGTTGAGGAAAAATTAGTTCTTAATAATTTTCTGTCTTTCAGCAGCAGTATACATCACTGTCTTCTGAGGACATGTTCCTCCTTAATATCTGTAAGTCACATTTTCATGTTTTTTTCTCAGTCCCCTTCATGGTTTTTCTCTCAACTTTGCCTTTAAATGCCAGCATTCCTCTTCTCTCTGGCTAAACTAATCTTTTTCCTCTATCTTCTATCCTCAGGGTTTGCTTCTACTCACAACACTTTGATTAAAATGATAAGCTATTTATCCCCAAATCCATATCTGCATCTCTGTATCTAGGCATGACCTTGGGGCACAATTCCAAATCTGTATCACCTTCTACTTTTAAAGCATCTGCAACTGACTACTAAAGGGTCCTTATGTTCGCATGGTAAAAAATTTAAATATAAGATTTCCCCCTCTAAATCTTCTCTCCATCTATTTCAACGAATGTACTATCATTCACCTAGTTGTCCAAGGAAGACTCTCAGGAGACAAACTCGATCCTCTTAAAACCTCCATGTCCGGGCCCTCCCTGGTGGCACAGTGGTTTAAAGAAGAGCACCAAGAAGCTAAAGCCACATCAGCATGAGTTTGATCCCCACCCCGGAGGTGATCCACATGAGCAGCAGACCTCTCCTGGCCCGCGCATTTCTTCCCTCAGCAGTGTACTTCATAGATCTGTTCTGCTCCCCACTCTGTCTCTGGTGAATCCTCTCACCACCCCTGCACCTCTGGCCTGTATCCCAACTCTGTATGCATAAATAAATAAATCTTTAAAAAATAAAATAAAATCCACTTGGTTTTATCTGCTTTTGCCTGTTCTCTTCTTCTCATTCTTTACCTACTCTTTTCACTGTCCAACTGTCCTCAGGAAGCAACTGCCACACAGTCCGAGGCTCAGTTTTATGTGTGCTCAGACAATCCATGTTTAGTCCTCTTGTAAATACCCCCAATGTCACTTTTTGGCTCCTTCCAAATTCCACTTGCCTAACATCAAACTCTTTATGAATCCCTCTTTCTCTTCTCTCTCTCAACTGGCTTTTGAAAGTTTTAAAAACAAAACACTTTCATCCTCTACAGCACAAGGCCTGCAGATCCACAACCCCACTAGGTAAATCTCAAATGGACCATGTGAAAGCAATATTAAAGGAGAATGTAAAATTTGGGGCAGTGAGGAAGTCAGTGGAGTGACCACAAAATTATGAACATCTTTTATTAGCTGACAAGTGGAATGAACCAAATGAAAACAAATCAATAGGTAAAAGGGGATTGGAAACACTTAAAAGTTATAGGGTCAACTGAGATAATGTTTCTACAGGTGTGAGAATTGAAAATCAGAAAAGCCTTCCCTGGTTCACGATGAGTTTGCTTTGCAACTACAGAGGTAACCTGACCAGCATCTAACTAGTGAAAAGGAAAGGATGCCTGTCCAGTTTTTCTCCTGGAGTCTAAAAATAGAAATCTGTTTTGATCAAATTTGCACTGGTCTTTCTCTTCTTCCACTAACCCTATGAGTTTAAATACAATTAAATGCATTTGAATTTCATCATTTCCATATGAAGGAAAGTAATGGGGAGAAGAATATAGGGAAGATCACATAAAATAAAGACCAGTTAACAAAAGTAGTAAAAGTCACTAGACACTAGGAGAAAAGTTGATACTACCTGAGAGACTCTAGTGGCCTCCTCCAGGAATTTTTTCATCTCATCCTCAGAGTAAACCACATTCATAGCAGAACCACTAGGAAGAGAAAGGAAAAAGAAAAAGAAAAAAAAGCAGGTGAATTTCTTTACCACTCAAAGTAATCAAAATAATGTAATGTCAAATTCTCAAAACAGTTTCAGGCTGGGTCAAGTAAGAAGTCTCCATCACCTAAACTGAGATTTTACTCCATTTATTCACCTGGACAATCATCCAAAGTAAAAAGTCATCTCCAGTGTCTGTGAAAATAACTGAAGGAACATGGCACATCCTTCAAGTTTACTCTGTCTGACTCATTGTTTTAATTCTACCAGCTCCACATAGTTTTTAAACATAGTAAGATAGATGCCAGGTCCCAGTGTCTCTATCCCTGTTTCCTCAGAGTTCATTACCAGTGGCTTATGTGAACACACAGGTCATAGTCAAAGCAGGTCATTCATTCCACCACCTCAACCTGCTTATAAAAGAATCTTTTTTTTTTTTTTTTCAGGAACATTTACAAATGTAAGGTACAGTCTCTGACTGAAACCTACTCAATTACACAAAGCGAGATGGAAGGGGAGAGAGAAAGGAGTACGATGACATAAAATAAGAAAAATTGATTTTCCAATTCCTTTTAAAATGAAGTATTTCTTTTAACTGTTCTACTCTATTAAAAACTTATTAATAATTTTAATACAGAAATTTAAAATTAATATTTTTTAATACAGAAAGGCTAAGGAAAAAGAGTTGATAATTCAGAAAGCTACGGATTGCAGAGTTGAGAACAGAACTGCAATAGTCACAGGCTGCATTGTGCAATCCTTCCTTAAATGTGTGTGTATTGTTTAAATTAACTTACATTAATACCTCCAAGAAGCAGCAGTATTAAACTGTGGTTTACACATTAAGTCATTTAAGTAAAAAGGAAACTTTTCCACCTCATTTGAAATTTTTCATTATTTTAAAGGATCCCATCTCAAATTCCATTTACACTTTCAAATTGTGCACAGCAAATTGTGTTTCTCTTATTATCCCCTGCTCAGTGAAGTAGTTTCTTACATGTGGTAACATCTGAAGAGAATAAGTGATCATTCACAACGTCTCCTCTGATTCTAGAACTTTTTTTCAAAGTTTAATAAAAAAGACACTCACGACCCTCTCTGTTATAATCCATCTATTTAAAAAGTGTTATCTCAGATATTTAAAAATTCAAATCAGAGGCACCATCAGAAGGTGCTGACAAAAGTCAAAAATAAACTGTCCTTTCTGGGTATTTGAAAGCAGATGCTAGAGAGAAATAGCCAGAATTTGCTCTCTTTTGTTTTGCCTTTTGGTATTTTTTAATGGCTCTCTTTTCCACTGTAAAACTGTCCTTCCTCAGTTTAGTGAGGAGATGCTCTAAACCATGTTCCTAAAACATAGAACTAGACAGTGTGTGTTAATGCTCTCAGAAAATAATGCATTAAGTTGAAGGATCATACACAGGTCTTCTTTCTGTCTGCGTGGACTTGGGGATTAATAAAGGATTTAAGAATTAGTTCTAGTGCTATAAGCACACAATAGGCATTTCTTATACCTCCTGATATTAAAATGATTGTTTTTGGAAAAGATTTTATTACCTCAAGACATAGGAAGGTCTCAACAAGCAGGGGTAGCCCACAGACTTCGCAAATTCCAATGCTTCATTCTAATTAATAAAAACAACAGAAACATGTATGGATAGATTTATAAATGCAAAATAATGCAGAAAGGTATCATTAGATCAAGTGGTAACCAACTCTTTGTACTCTTTCTCTCAAAAGGCCATTAACAAGTAAATTGGACATCAAAATACACAAAAACCCTAGTTTCTAATTCTAAATATCAAATCTAAATCAAAAATAGTTCAATCTTTTGTCTGTATTTTAATGAGAATACTCACATCAATTTAGGCAGCTTTTAACAGCAATCAGAGAAACACAATAACTTGAAAGTAAATTCACAGCATTTTATCTGCCCGCTAGTTACTAGTCTACAGTAGTTAGCATTCAGATTATGAAAATCCAAAAGAGAATATAAAAACAGACACCTTTTTTTCTCCTTACCAAAGTGTTAACTGCTTTCCATGGTGCCTGAGCCACGTTTATCTCATCCAAGATGGCTGAGAAGATGGAGCGATCCTCAGCCCTGTCGATCTGCATAGGGCTGGTGCCCATGATCTTGACACCATTCTTGTGGAGAGGGACTGCCAGGTTGTTTGGAATCTGGCCCCCTACTGAAATGATGCAGCCACTGCATGCCTGAAATAGATGTCCACAACATCAGCCACTGGAGTAACTTTTCCCTGATAAACAGCTGTGCTATTGTTGCCTCCATTTTTAAAAAATATTTCTAATTTTTTAAAGTACATGCTACTTTTTTTTTATGCACACAGAACTGGGGTCAGGAGCGGTGAGAGAATTCACTGTGGACAGAGTGCGGAGCAGAACAGGCAGATGGAGGAAGGACACTGCTGAGGGGAGCAGCGGAATAGGCAGGAGAGGTCTGCTGAGCCATGTAAATCACCTCCTGGATGGGGCTCGAACTCACACTGGAGTGGCTGCGGCCACCTTGCAGTTTTGCACTTTATCTGCTGTGCCTCAGAAAGGGCCTGCCTCCATAACTGAAAATACTTAATATGATTGTGGTATTTTCATTTCTCCCACTAATGGATACTATTTCATAAGACCCCAAAGTGATAAACACACTTGGTTCTGACTTTGCAGGCACTTACATGCTAAAACACAATGACACAATTCCCATGGAAGACTACACAGAACATGCTAAGTGTGATATTAGTATGTGTGGCATTAGAGAAAGAAAACTAAGCCAATGGATTCTCACCATCAATTAACCTAAACTCTAAATTAACTTTAACTACTGTTGCAATTTCCTGACTGGATAACATTCTCTCCCAGCACTCAACCTCTCCTTCCCTCCACATTCTGACTAATCATCCTATAGCATTGCCTCAATATTTCTCCTCTTCTCAAAGTTCTCCAAAGGTTCCCAGCCTCCAAAAGATTAATCAGAAACTTGCTACCAAGAGTGCTAAGATTTTCCAGTCTGAGCACTCACAACTCAAGACTGCTTCATTCACAGTCTATACACTACCTCCAGTTTTGACAACCTCTCTTTTAAGCGGCTACCAAGGCACATATTTACACAACAAGTACACAACAAGTGTACACAACAAGTGATGTCAATGCCAATTTCTTTACTGTCTTATAAGCAGCTCCTGAATCTTTCACCTTAATCTTTTAGTAGCAGTCAAAACTTCAAGATTGAAAAAAAGCCCACCAAATCTCAAATTTTCTCAAGTTCACTGGAGTGAGGGTGAGTCAGTGTGGGATACTGAGGAATTGCATTTGAGATTAGAAGCCCCTTCCCATATTTGTTTCCACTCCATAGCTCCCACCGAGGTTCAGTCTAGTTATAAAATGAGGATAATAATGTCTGCCTACCTCACAAGGTTGCTACATACATTCAAAGAGGTAATAAACAGAAAGAATTTATCCAGGATAAAAATGTAAGATATTAGTATTACTATTAGAAAATGTTATAGGGCCCTCCCTGGTGGCGCAGCGGGTTAAAGCACAGCACTGAGAAGCTAAAGCCACCTCAGCATGAGTTCAATCCCTGCCCCGGAGGTGACCCACATTGAGCTGTAGACCTCTCCTGACCGGTCCGCTGCTCCCCTCAGCAGTGTACTTCATGGATCAGCCTGTTCTGCTCCCCACTCTGTCTCTCGTGAATCCTCTCACTGCCCCTGCACCTCTGGCCTGTACCCCAGTTCTGTATGCATAAATAAATAAATTCTTAAAATAAAAAAGAAAATGATATAAAATCTAGTAGACCAATGACCTTGGTATAATTTGTTTCTCCTAAGACTCTAATGGTGAATATTAGAATATTAGAATGACTGAAATAAGGGGTATAAGCCAAATTCATTTTATCATTATTTGAAATCATTCTGAAATAGTCTTAAAAGGAATGTAGCTAATTTATCTATTATGAAAGAATTTATGTACTGCCTAAACAAACATCCTGCAATTGAATGCTTAAACACGTAGTAAACAGCATTAAAAAGAATAATCCACAGTTTTACATATTTATAAGTGCACTTAAGCTACTTTTATCATTATTTTATGTTCAATATGCATTTTTGTAAAACCTTTATGAAGAATTATTTTCCTTGCTATATATTTTTATTTGCTTATTATTTTTTGGTTTATTAGCAGTTTTTTATTTGCTTGTTACCTTTAGTTTATTAGCAGTTTTAATATTTTAGAAACTCAAAAGCTAATTACTCAAGTAAATGTATACCAAAAGCCTTTTATGTGAAGGACTTTCTAAAATTAAGGAAGAAATAGTACTCTGTGAGCAAAAATTGGAGTCCACAACTTTCAAAGCACTAAAAACAAAGTACTATTTGTTAAGCATATTACTGTATACACTAGACTATCTACTTTGACCTCTGTGGTAGGTTCTGAAAAATGTGAAAAATGTTCTGAAAACATTTTTCAGTTATTATTACCCACTTGCAGCTAAAGAAACCAAGTCATGGTGAAGGCAAAATGATTTGCCCATATTTCTTAACTAGAAAATATGGAGTCAGTACTTGAACTAAAAACTACTAGTATAACGCAGTTGTGCTTAACTAAATCACCAAAATTTTTAATTTTAAGCAAACTCTTCTTCTGGTTGGTCTCAAAGGTAGTTAATTTTAAAATATATGAAAAAAGTTATTCTATAGTATTCTTGAAAAAAAGTATCTGGGTCCTCCCTGGTGGTGCAGCAGGTTAAAGCACTGCACTAAGAAGCTTAAGCCAATTCCTCATGCATGAGTTCGATCCCCGCCTGCCCCGGAGGAGTCCACATGGCGTGGAAAGACCTCTCCTGACCCGCCCGCTGCTCCCCTCATCAGTGTACTTCATCCATCTGCCTTTTCTGCTCCCCACTCTGTTCCTGGTGAATCTTCTCACCCTCCGCATCTCTGGCCTGTACCCCAGTTCTGTATGAATAAATAAATAAATCTTAAAAAAAAAAGTATCTGTAAAAGGTCTACTGCAAAACCATATTCTCAGCATTGGTGTCCAAAACTAAAAATCACTAGGAGGATAAATCACTTCTGCAGAAATATTATAAACATCTTGATGTATGGTACAGATTTTCTTCATATAGCAATGAAATGAGTAGAAGAGAGCATACTTGTAGGGTCTCACAGGAAAGAACTTGGTATCCCATAGAAGATAGCTATCAATATCAAATCACTTATACTTAAATAGTTTCAATTTATTTACTGAAATAAAATATCTCAGAAGTTCAGATATTATTTCACAGATTTCTAAAATCTTTAGGCCTCAAGTAATTTCTTTACTCTCTAACTCCCATTGACTTATCTAGATTTGTTTGTATCTTTTTTATCCAGCTTGATTTTCCATTATATTTTAACTTGTTATCACTAAGTTAACAGCACACAAGAATATTTCTGAAAAAATATTCAAGATGTCATTACACCACAAATTAAGGACTGTAAAAAGTGTATTTCATGTTTATAGGAGAAAATCTTAATTACTCTGAGACATTAGACAATTTTGTCTGCTCTTACATTTATGGGCAAATTTAATGCTGCATTATGAGAGAACACCATGTCAAGAAATTGGTCTTGCTAACAGAAATACCTTTTACTTTGTTAAAAAAAGACCTTGATTTTTGCCATTTCAGGCAAAAATTTACAAAATTTACAATTTACAAAAGTCTACTGTTTATATATCTGCCAATGAGAATGATGACACTTTACATTTTAGTAATAAATATTTTAGTAAAATACATTAGTTTAGGTAGAGTCTTAAGATATTTAATTACAATTAAACCCAATGTCACAAATGAACCTCAATTTGAGTTTAGATATAGGCATTTCTTAATGGGTTTTCCTATGAATAATTAGTGTTTGTCAGTCATTCAATAGCTAAACTGTGCTACAGAGGTACCAATGTGTGTATATATATATATACACACATACATAATAGTAGATCTTAATATAAGATCAATAAATCATTCATCAGAATATATTTTTATGGCATATTATCCAGTAAAGCATTCATAATAATAAAAGGATTCAAGCTTGATAGTAACATCATAAGATCGTAAATATGTTGCCTAGAACTTTTAGGTTCAATTTCTTAAGAAACAAATACAACAAGAATTGAAAAATAGGTCTTAAAGAAGATATACATATAGAAAAATGTTACTATTTTTAGTTATATAATATTGCAATACAATTAGTCTCCAAAGAAAGAGGAAAAGCGATGCTAAGAACATAGCTCTGTGATTCTGTTTCACCGGTATGCCACACAAAATTTATTGCAGCATGCATAACAGATCAGTGAAAGAGAAGCTCAGTGTTGCAACTTCAATAAGCAAAGAAATAATTTTCAAATTCTTCACCCAAAATAATTTGAAAATCTTTTCCCTTATAAGGATTATCTTAAGCTAAATTGCAAACTAAGCAAAATAGCACCTTTCAAAGCTTTGAGAGTGGGAGACACCCACTTCTCAGCTCTCTTAACCCTCCCCTACACTCACACACCAAACAAACCTTTAGTAGTATGAAATAATTAAGAATAAGTAGAAGCTTTCAGCACTCCTAGCCTCACCTCTCACTCAATCTCTCATCAAGACCCCCCTCCAAATAGCCTGCCTTTTTCACAAAGCATGCTGGTTTTTGACTCTCTTTTAGTGCTATCTTCAAGGTGCCTCTGTGATGTCTTGGTATCAGCCTTGCTCCTGAACTAGATGGAGAGGGCTAGACCAGGAGTCTCATCATGCTTTCTTTCACCCCCTGTAGTTTTGTATCATTGCAAAATCCTGTTGCCCTTCCAAGGGACGCAAAGGTGTGCTTTAGAATAAGTTGAGATGTGCTTGCAATTTTCAGCAAGTTTACTACTGAACACTTCAGTGCCTTCAGCATTGCTAGGAATATCCAAGGTCAGATCAGAGTACTCTTCTGACACATTTATTATGGGAGACAATACAGTCTGTGGAGCCTGTTGTGAGGACATACAACCTCACAAAAAGAAACATACACACCATATGTATATGTGCATGTGAGACATGCCATTCCCTGTGGTATACTCTAAAAAATACATCAACAGATTATTGTTCTTATGTTCATCAACAAAACAATTAAAATGCCTTGACTATACAATAGCATCATACTTCAAATGCCAATTAACTTCAAAGATGGGTCAACTTTATTTCTATCATCCTGAACTCAGAGTAAAAGGATCTCACTGATATCCATGTGAAACTGCATAGAAAGGCAGACAGAGATGGATTTATCTTTTCTTAACTCATTCCATGGGGAGAATAGTTAATTATATATAAAATGCTTACAGCTATTACCTGAAAATGTTAATATTTTAAATAATTATGTAATTCTCACTTATTTTTGTCATGATGCCCAGCTTATAATTAATACCTTGAAGGTAGGGGCCTGGTTTTGTAGCTCTCTATCCTACTGAATCCAGTATTTATAAGGTGCTCAGAAATATTTGTAGTATGCTTTTTTTTGGATTCCCACCTCTCTATATGAAATGAATATTAAGGAATCATTAGAAAAGGCAGGTCAGAGAACAAAAAACTGTATATACTCTACTTAATGGTTCTATTTTATTACATTAAAAGATAAGCAGTCTAGATTAAATAGACAACATGGTGATATATCTATGTTAAATTTGTCTATTTTTCTTTTCATCCACTGCTCTAGCTCTATATGCTTTACAATGCCGTTTCAACCACAAATCTCCTATTACCTTCATAGGACCTGAGTGTAACACTTTTTTACACTAATATAATTCATGAACCAAAATATAAAAATTGAAGCACAGAGAATTTACATACCTGTAAACATAAATGAGTTTTTGAGTTAAAACTAGAATTTAAATAAAGTGACTCCAATTCAGTATTTTTTTCCTCTTAGTTACCATATTTTACACGAAGAGACAAATCTTTGTGTTAGGAATTAACTGGAAGACAGTTAAGGCACAACTAGTAAATATCTTTCTGAAAGTTTCCAGTAGTGACTCTTCTCATTGTAAGGTAATTTAACTTGTTCTACAGACTTGCAGTAACTTACTATGATCATAGGAATACACAGTGAAAACACAGTCAATAATATTGGAATAGAAGTAGAAGAGCAACTGCAGGAGAAGGTAACAGAGGAATCGGAATCACTCAGAATGAACTCATCGATCTTAAATTCAGGACTAATGGCTTCATCTCATAGCACAAAGAATGAACTGATCCTTTGTGAACAACTGACTTCTCTCCCCTGGGAAGTGTCTATCATTAAAGCACAACACAAGAACTAGAGAAAAGCTGCTTATTTGATGTCTAGAAACCAGTTAAATGATTTTGTGAAATATTTACTTGCTTTGTCTTGTACTAGTTAATATGTATTTGGCATTTGTTACTGAGGTAATTTTTCAATTAGCTGGAAAGAGGGAAAAAAAGCTTAGAAAGAGAAAAAGTGAATTTTATACAGAGATAATCACTCTGTGCCAGGGTCTGAGGAATATAAGGCTAAATAAATTTTTCAGTTTCCTACAAAATTAGACAAGGGTAGGTTTCTGTGAGGGGAACTAAAGTATAAATCTACATAAAAGAATGCACACACACATAAAGTGTGCATTGCTTATATTTTTCTACTTTCTTTCCTTTTTCCTTATTTTTTTTCTTTCTTTACCTCCTGATGGTAGATGTCTAGGATTCTCTCCAAAGACAACTCTTCAAAGTACAGTTTGTCACACTCATCAAAGTCTGTGCTCACGGTCTCAGGGTTGCAATTCACCACCACTGTCTTCTTGCCAAGTTGAGTCAGTGTGCGGATACTGGACACAGCACACCAATCAAACTCCACACTGCTGCCTGCAGAGACAAGGAGATTGAGGGAAAAGGTAAGAGAGGCATGAAGTTACAACACAAAGAAAAGTGTAAATATAGGGCCATTCAGTCCAGGCTAAGGAAGGTAATGCGTTTTCAATTCAGTTTTAAGACTCCAAAATGTAATTTTCTGATCCACTGTGTGCACTATATTATTAGTAAGAAAAACAGGAATTAATTAAACAACAATGGCATGTTGGCTTATTTTATATGTGGTCTTATAGTAAGTAATCTCCATAGTTGAATTACTTAAAACCTCAGTTAGTAAACATAATGATAAAAAACCTCATTTACTGAAAAGAAATTCAAAATTAGTTTATTTGACCACAGAACACAAAAATCACATTGGTGATCAGAATACTTGAGTCCTTCCACTTGCCTTGCTCTCTGAGAGTTAATCCTGCTAGTTGACCCCTGAGCTACCATGCAGCTTAGACATAGCTTGATTGACTAGAGGGAGTCTTATCCTTTCCAAGCTTATCCTTTTACTCTAGATGTGGTCACTCCATGCAGAGTGAGTGACCTTCTAAGAAATTAATTTGATGAGTAAGATTGATCAAAATGTCTCAAAATAGCCCCTCTATTGGAAAACTGTAAAACTGAAAGTTCTGGAATTTGTACTAATACTTGCATTAAGAGTTCGTTTCCTAAAAATTCATGTTAGAATAATTAGTTATCCTAACAGGTTAACTGAATTAAGTATGCATTTGATTCTTAACTAAGCTAGTCCTTTTTGAGCCCAAAAACAATGCAGACTTGTTATATAAATTAAGTGAAATTTGAAAAGAAAGAAAGATCTAAGGAAAGCTTAAGTTCTAGAGAAGTTGTTAAGACATTTAAGACATAAGTTGTAATAGGTTAAATACTATTAGCCTACTTCAAGATTTGGCCAGTTTGGTAAACTAGTATATCCTAAAGTACTTAGAATATTGTAAAAAAAAAAAAAGAAGAAAAAGAAAGTCTCTATGCTTAATGTAACAGAGTAAGATACATACATACATATATATATATACACACACAATATATATATATATTATATATGTATATACACAAGATATATATATATACATACATACATATATGTGAACCACCTATTTCATCATTTCTATATTAGAATGTCTTGCTAAATCTAAATATTAGATATATCATTTGAGAAATAACCATTGTCCATTTAAGTACTTTGTTACTGTAATAGATCTTGAACCATTATCAAAAGTCTAATTTTAAGGAACTAGAGGGAAGAGTAATAATTTCTGGAAAAAAAAATATTTAAATTATATGACATAATATTCTTCCTATGCATCAATAAGAAAAGCTCTTTAAATTTTTTGCCAATAAAATTATAAATTAGGATCAAGATTGTATGTGAAAACATAATTTCTGCCTAATTTATAAAGTCCTTGAATAAAAATAAGTCTTAGTGAAAAATCTATGCCAGTAAAAAAAGTCAAAGCATAGAGAATTCCCCAACACCAGTGAGAGCCTCAATTTAGTTCATGGGGTGAATTTGACAAAGAGGCAACACGATGATATTAAAGGAGCTAGAATCTGTAGTTAATATCCACATTTGAATCCCGCCTCTGCCACTTTAATAGCTATATAATAAGTTTGGGTTCTATCTCTCTGCATTTCAGTTTTTTAATTTGAAGAATAATTACTATAAAAGCATCTGTTTCACATTGTTCTTGGAATAATGGAATTAACATGTGTGAAAAGTAATAGGCCAAAGTATACTGGAGTCCTATGTAAATACAAGTTATCACTTTACCAATGTGATATGGACCGCAACCCAGCACCATCATCCCATGGTCATCAAAACTGATGTCATGCTCCTGAGGGAGAAAGAATGGAAGACGTGGAAAATATGACATTATTTTCCCCTCTAATTAAACTTTTTGCTGTCTTTCTCATTCTTCTTGCTGACATGCATTCTCTCCTTGTTTCAAGCAACACACAGATATAAAGTGTTAACAAGCTTGACTTGTTTGTAAAAAAATAAAATTTCAATAAATTACATGGTGGTTAAAATATAACATAATGTCTGTTCATGTAAACACTGTCTTTTATTATCTTTTCATTTGCTTGATATTGTCAACTAAAGGCAGTTCTTTAAAACTGAGTACAGAGGCATCATCACATCTGAGCCTCATTACCAACATCACTAGATAACCAAGGAGACAAATATATATATATATTCACCCAGGTGAATGACTTATTAAATCAAAATACTTCTATGATAGTCTGGCAGTTCCTACCTGACCATTGTAGGTAACGTAGAGGTAGTTTGTAACTGATGGATATTCTGCAGCCAGTGTATCAATCTGCAAGAGAAAATTAATTAATTAATCAGGGATAGTACTTCCTTTGTTTTAATTTTTTCAAGAATGATTATGAATTTTTGTGTGTTATAGCCTATTTCTTTAACGCCTATTAATTGCCAAATATAAAAACAAGCAATAGGTATGAATGTTACAATTACTTTCTATGTCTTAAAATGAGAAGAATAAATTAAAAGGATAATGCAATGCAGTTATTACTTAAGGAGTGTGTGACAACACAAACCCCAGAGCATCACTGAGTCATTACAGTAGTTCTTCCCATGAAAAAAGTCAAATATAAATAAATAGTTATCAAGAAGATTTACTCAGTTCTAAGGCAGCCAGGTAGAAAACTTTAAAATCACAGCAAAATGATACCTATGTGAGAATGTCTTTGACTTAGAAATGAATTCCTAGGACTTAAGTTATCAATGGCACTGAACTATGCAATGATACAGATGCCATAATGCATGGGAGCAAGGGAACAGGGACAAGTCCTTATTGAACATGTTTAGGAAAAGTAAATCAATTTATCTCTCAAGGGCCAGGAGCTCAGCTTAGCGAGCAAGATTTGGTGGCCAATAGGGCAAGACAGCAGAAGATAGTTGAGAAGGAAGATAGATAATAATTGCTGAATAGAAAATTCAGCACCAGTCCTAAGACCAAAGGGTACACACATGCCCTCTGAGCACATGGGAAAAAGACAATGATATTAAAGGACAGATTCCAGACTGTAATACTTTAAGTCAAAACATCCTTTCTACTAAAGTCTGAGTCCCCCCCAAACCCCACCCCCCCAAAAAAAATTCCCAGTGATACACCTATGGCACCTATAAGCATTCTTGTGTGACTGTCACAAAGCTGATGGGTTCATTATCCTCTATCACAATGAATACTAAATGAACACTAAAGATGGAGCACTTAAAAGAAAATACTGCCCTGTAAAAAGTTAGTGTCAAAGAGATAACTGTTCTTTTCAGGAGGGTCAGTCACCATGCTGAGATATGTCAAGCTCTCCTGTTATACTACTAGATATATTTGTACATGGGTGAAAAAACAAAGGAGAAATTATTTTGATTTTTTTTCTTATGTAGACCAAATAGATTATATATTTAGTCTTACTTTTAAAATTAATTGCACCTTCATCCCTTTTGTTAAGCAAATCCATTCAGTAGCATCATGGACATCAATTAGGCAAGCAGAGTCACTTTCTAATTTTACCTTTCTTTTTTATTGCCAGTGGTCCTATAAATTGGTGTCTACATTTCACGAGGGGACATGTGGCTTTAAGGGGAAACTTACCTGTTTAACCCAAGGGTGGATGTTTTTCTTTAACCTCAGTTCTCTTGTTTGGGCCTCAGTCAACCCAAGACATTTTGAAATCTTCTTGTCAGAGAACCCAATCTCCTTTGCTTTTTTCAGGGTTTCTTCTGAAATGGAGTCACTGGAATGGAATTAAAATAAGCAGTTCAAGTTGACACAATAGAAAAGAGTGAATTGTTCAATTTTTTTAAGTCTTTCTTTTTTAAAAAAAGATTTATTTATTTATGCATACGAACTGGGGTACAGGCCAGAGATGCCGGGGCAGTGAGAGGATTCACCGGAGACAAAGCGGGGAGCAGAACAGGCCAACTGACAAAGTACACTGCTGAGGGGAGCAGTGGGCAGGTCGGGAGAGGTCTGCCGCGCCAGGTGGGTCAGCTCCGGGGCGGGGATCCAACACGCACTAAAGCTGCTGCAGCTCTGGCCAGCTTGCAGTGCTGCATCCCAACCCAGTTGCGCTACTAGGGAGTGCCCGAGTTGTTCAATTTTAAATATTAATGTTCCCAAATCTAGATCCCCAGGCCCCTGGTCTGACCTATAACTCAGATTTTTGTACATGACAAGTTTGAGGACCACTTTCACCTAGTCCACCCCAGCATTGTCTCAGAGGGTCCCCTCTATTTCTACTTGTTAGTATCATTTACGTTGAGATAAGTTCTATGTTGAGAAGATAGTTTTGTAGTTTTATGATTAATTTCCACTCGAGCCAGATTTACCTCCTCACTTTCCTGTGCTCCTTTCCACTGTAGAGAGACTATCTGTGTTTTTTCCTCTCACTTTGAATGCCATCGACATTTCTGCTACCTACCCAACATCTCTCCAACTCCAGTAACCCTTCGAAGATCAATCAAAGCTAACTCACACTCATGAAGTCTCCTGATCAATCCTCACCCACACTGATGTTCTTGGATTTTTAAACACATTTTTGATTTGGAGTCAAAGGCATAGTTAAACTATACTGCTTAGCATAACATGAAACCATACTGCTTAGCGTAACATAATAAATAACATAATATTTCTTATGTCTACTACTATCTATTCACTAATCAGACTTTTCTCCTGCTGGATTTAAATTCCATGAGGTAAAAAAATGCATTTGGTTTATTTGCCAGATCATTCCCAAAGCCTAGCACATTTATCCTACAGGAAACGTTCAATAAATATTAATTAAATGAATAAAGGAAATTGTACCTCTATAGATACTTTTTGTTTTATAGAAGAGACAAAGAAGTTATTAAAATCAGCTCATAATGAAAAATCAAAATGTGTATCAAAGTAATTCCTAAAAGATCAAAAAAACAGAAAAATATAATACTACTTGTAAAAGCATCTTAACCAAATACCTGTGGGCCATCTATTTAAAGCTATAGTCAATACAATAAAATTCAATTATCACAGATTGATAGCCAATATACTGAAGTTCAACTATTGCAGTTTGTTGTCAGAATATCTAATAATAAATAAAACATTTTCATTGAAATTCTAATAGAATGTAGCTGAACTAAACCTGATACATTTGTTCAATCTAATCTTCCATCTTCTTTAATTCATATTCTAAGTTTAAAGAAGAGAGAATAAAGCTAGCATATTTAATAGCTATTTCTCTGGTGGTTTGACATCAGTATTAGTTTGGATTTTTGCAGCAACAGCTCTTTCTAGTGAATTCACTTTTGTCTAAATTCCTTTTTGTCTCTAATCAAGAGTTTCATTCAGTAGTTTTTCAATGAATTTAACTTCTTTTTATTTCTATCCTGAATTTTTCACCTTCCCAAGTATTTTAAAGCACTCTTTCACAGAAACAATATTTTCCTGTCAAATGCTTGAGCATAATCTAACTATTAAGTCTTTTTAGTTATTTGCTATACATGCTGAGCTGTTTGCTACATGCTTTGGAACTATGCTTTTCAATATGATAGCTGCTAGCCATATGTGGATATTTAAATTTAAATGTAAACTTATTAAATTTTAATTAAAATTTAACTTAGTTTTTAGATCTTAAATTAAAAGTTGAAATATCAGATCCATAGTCATATTGAGTAAATATCAAGTACTCACTAGTCACATATAGCTGGTGACTATTATACTGGGTAGAGCTAATTACAACATCTTATTATCAAATTTCTTGACAGTCCTGCTCAAGAAGATACAACACAATACTTGAGATAATGGAATGATGGTGATTCAAAACATTTTAAGGAGTGATATGCTATGTGGAACCCACATAAGGTGAGAGAAACGTGTTAACAATGTGAATGACTGTAGTTGAGAAATACTATGGTAGAAGAATGAGAACAGAGTCATTAAAGTTAGCTTTTGGGTCCTCCCTGGTGAGGCAGCATGTTAATTAAACCACAGCACTAAGAAGCTAAAGCCACTTCAGCAAGAGTTCGATCTCCACCCCAGAGGTGACCACATGGTGCAGCAGACCTCTCCTGACTTGCCCCCTGCTCCCCTCAGCGGTATACTTCGTCAGTCAGCCTGTTCTGCTCCCCACTCTGTCTCTGGTGAATCCTCTCACTGCCCCAGCCACTCTGGCCTGTACCCAGTTCTATATGCATAAATAAACAAATATTTTAAAAAAAATCAGCTTTTATAGATGAAGTTGACTGATGGACTACAGGCAAGGGTAAATGCATTGGCAATATCAGAGGGCAGCCATGAATATTTAAATATAGAAAACATATCAAGAATTTGTAGTTGGAAAGAGCAGGAAATCATGGATGGTGAGCATCTGGCACCTTCTCTTTCCTTCTTTTATTAGTGCTTTAATACTTAGTGCATATGTGCAATGTGTCAGGTCCTATGCTACCTATTTTAATGATAAGAGATAAAATATGGAATCTATATTCACGATCATCAGAGTATATTGGTAAATAAATAGTCATCGATATGTCTGCACTGTAAGCAGTACTATGAAAGAAATGGAAGCAAGAGGAAGTCTGGAAAGGCCACTGAACTATTAAAATATTAGGTTTATGATAGCTTTTGGGATTCAAAAAAATAGGGAGAGAGAAAAGCAGAGATGGGAATTTTTGTTGCTGTAGCTTCTATTTGTTTTAGAAAGGTATTTCTACTTTCTTTCCACCAAGGCTATGTTCTTAAAGCCACTGCTCATTTGGTAATGCACAAGTGTGCTTTCAACCTTAAAGTGGAAATGTCTAGTAAGTAAGCTATTATTCGAACTTAGAATTTGGGAGGATATTCTTTTTAAATTTCCCTAATCATGAGTTTCATGGATGATATCAAATCATATTAGTGTTTATGTGCATGGAGAAGGGCCACACATTTCTGCATGATATGCAATTTTATTAAAAACATGGGCATGAAACATCAGTTAGGTTCAGAAATAAATGCAGTCTTTTCTACTGCTGAAATATGTATGATTTCTCTTTGTTCTTTTCCCCCAGAAGCATCCAATGGAGCATTTAAGGACATCTCCAGAAAATACACAAAGTTGGTCTTCTCCACCCATCATATCAAATTGGACTCATCCCAACAAACAAATTAAAAATTTTAAAAAGACTGATTGATAGAATTGGCCTTGTGTGTAAAAACATGGAGTGAATTAATTTTGTAGCTCTGCTCTGGTGACAGAAACAGCTTTCACTAAGACTGACTCAATCATTTCTGCTTCCTAGTGCTTCCCCACCTCAGAGTTTTCATTATTTAAAGGGGATACCTGAGATGAACAATGATTACACATAATAATGAGTCATGAGTGCTAGAATTTCAGACAGAGTGAAGGCTATTTCTCTATAGGTACCCCCTCAAATCATACCAGGTGTGAGAGTTGTGAAACAAATACAAGTTGAACCTGCAGAGGGCATTTTCTAGCTTACAAAATATTTTCTAGTTGAGCCAAAAATTACTTTAACTTTCACCTGATTTTTGAATAACCAGATGATAGCATCATATGCTGTTTTTAAACATCTTGAAAATTGGGGTCCACTGAATCAGAATGGTACTGTACTTATATATTATATTTATATTACATATTATGTTTATATATATAATTTATACTATATATTTTTATATTATAGCATATCATGTTATATATACTATTTATACATTATATTATAATTGAATGCAAATACCGGGCTGTTGGATCCATACATCCAATGTGACATATCTTTTAATGCATTTTGTTCATGATCTCTCTGGTTACTAATTTCTAAGCGTTAGATATGTTCAGGAAATAGTTCAAAGCACTGTAAAGCCCTCCTTGCTGAAGAAACAGATGTTTATACTGACTGTCTGTAGCAAATACAAAGACACAGCCAACTTAGTCTCCCCACATTTAGTGCAGCCCTAATTATGCTGAATACCCCTACTGGTAAGAGGGAACAGGTTGCCTTTCTATTTCCCTGGTTCTCTCTCTCCACTGTTTCTGCAGAATACACAGCTGGCCCAGCATGTTACTCATACTGAAGGAAGCTGACTTTATTCCCACCTTGTTCTGATGCAAAATTTCATTTTGTGTGACATTATAATAAAACAAAAGAAAAGATTTGAAGACACGTTCATTAGCTTTGGGCCAGTGATTGAGATAAGATTAAACCTCTCCAGAGTCAAATACAAGATGAGTAATCTTTGCTGAGTACAAAGCTCACTTAACAAGGTAGAGATTCAGAGACAACACTTCATCTTATCTGCCTATCGGGCTGTCCTCCATTTTGTCTACAAAAATGAAATTTCATAAGTGAGTTGTTTTCTTTATAATCAAGCTAGGTAAAAGCTACTTCAAGGATGGAGCTGTAATTTTTCATTTTTTTCCAAGGGAAAATGAAAAATCTTAATTTGGAACAAACTCAAAACAGAATAATTCCTAAAAGAAATGTAAATGCTGAATTTGTAATTCAAAACTGCTTTTTGAATCTCAACAGGGAATTCTCTATTGATATTATACTGTAAGTCAAGAGAGCATTAACCAAAGGACAAATGTGATCAACTGAATGAAGCCTTTTGTACTACAGCCACTTTTAAAACACGTATTATTGCTAAATTAAAGTTCAGTTATTTGATGTGTATTTGTGTGCTCTACTATGCTTACATTTATCTTTCCTTCTCTGAATATGTACACATTAAATCCACATCTCAGAACTACAGTTTCTAAAATATGCC